CTTTGGAAACTTCAAGGGTTCCTTACGGCCCAGTCGCTCTGCTCCTGCCACTTTCTTGTGCATCCTCCCACCCTCCGGAGCACCCACCCCATGTCCAGCCATGCTCGTGATGGGCTGCAGCAGCCACTTGTGCACCCTCCAGAGCTCATGCCACACTACAGCAGCCACTGACCTGCCCGCTGGCCTGCTCATGAGCTGCCTGGGACTTGTGACTTCCTGCTGGCTTCACCCTTGACTCTGCTTGTTGGAAGCCAGGAGGAAGTCTCAAGGAGGTCCTTGCTTAATGACCGTGATCCTCAACAACGGCAATGGGGACTGCTAGGATTGCCATCGCTAAGCAGTGCGTTCACATTATGACTGCATCGTTTAGGGTGGAAATTCTGGTCCTAATTACCATCGTTAAGCAAGGACTACCTGAGGTAATGCACCTTGCAATCATTTATTGAGAAGTGATGTTCTATGATGTCCTAAGTCCTTCTAGGCTGTTTATTCCAGCTTCACTGTAGAATTCCTCTGTGGTAGATGAGTGTCCATCCTCTCCTTATTTACCTCCAGAGATGGCATGTCCATCACTCCTGAGATACTGTCCCACTAGACAGCTAACATATCCGAGGCTTATCCTGATGGTTGGTTGGAATTGACTGAATCTCTTGGATGGTCACCTTCAGATAATTGAAGAATTCTTAAAACTTGGTTCTCAGATCTGAACGGAGTCCTCCGAAGTATAAGAAATGTAGGCTGGAGCAGAATTGTGGCCTTTTTGTGATTTGGGAGCTTATACCAAAGATCTTTCCTATAAGGTGTGGGCCTGGTTAGGAGCCGGATTGCACTGTCATTTCATAAGGATGGTGGACTAAGCCCAGCCTTGGTGCGTGAGCAGGCAAGGTGACAGCCTATCTCTTCCTCTTTACTGGTCCACTTTTAAGAAAGTGCCCTGGCCCTGGCCCTGCAGAGCCCTGTGAAATGAGAGCTGGGCAGGGCTGGGGCTGGCTGCAAAATACAGCCTTGATGAAAAGGAAAAATGGTGAGATCTAAAGGTGGAAGCAGGATCCATAGAACAGAAGAAATTAACCCTCTCTGAACCCAAAGTTCTCTCACATATTCATGAACCCCCAAACCCCCTCCTGGCCTTTCGCCTACAAGAGACCCAGCTGGCCTCTTTTTCCTTTGAGACCACCTTCTCCATTCCCCTCGTCTCTCACATGCTTCTCCCACCCTCCCTCCTAACCTCTGCAGAACCCTCCCTTGGCTATCAGGTCCTCCGGTTCTTCCCAGTGTAAGGCACTCTATGCTACCCAAGTTTCAGAGAGCCAAACAAAAACTTGAGACGAGACTTCTGTAACAATTTACAGAGATTTATTGATCAATATGCATCTGGGTGGCCCAATCGACATCGTGGCAAGAAATGCTGAAAAAAACCACAGCTTGCAAAGCAAACTTCAGAGGTTTTATAGAAAGGTACAGGTTTTAAAAAA